TTACTGTCCTCTCCCCTGTGACTGTGAGCAATTCCACACTGGTGGGAGTCCACCCCCCGGGGAGGAAGTCAGCCGCTCCCGGCAACAGTCCCCTCCTGACCAGGCTGATGGTGGACCCCGTATCCACCAATGCCCGGCAGGGCTGTCCATTCACAGTGCAGTCCAAGTACAGGCCTCATGCGGGCCCGCAACGACCAACCGTAGGCCAGTCTAAAGGGAGGGAAGCAGGTGGTTGGAGTGAGGGCCCCCTCAACGCCTCACCCCCTGTTCGTTTCCCGCCGGTCTGGGGCTCGGGGCTGGACAGTCTCGGGCCAGATGTCCAGGTTCCCCACACCGAAAACAGCAGTCGTGCCTGGGTCTCCGCCGTCGCTCCTCGGCTGGTTGGGCCCGACTGGCTTGTGGCTTCTCCGGTGCCAGCTCCGCCGCTCAGGTGCTTGGACTCGGGAGCGGTACCTTCGCCTGCCGTGGACCCAGCACTTCCTCCACCTGCTCAGCCTCTCTCAGCGCCTCGCTGACGTTACGAGGCACTGCCAGGCGAACATGCAGGTGGAGCTGCTTAGGAGCGAGGCCACGAAGAAAGGCCTGGAGGCTCAGCTCTTCCTTCGCCGTCGTGGGGAATGTAGCATATCCCTGTCTCACCAGCAGCTGCAGGTCCGCGGCGAAGGCTCCCAGGCTCTCTCCCTCGCGACGGTGCCGAGCCGCTAGCTCCTCTCTGGACCTCTCTGCTGACACACTTTGTCCGCAGCGCTGGTGAAGTGCTGTCTTCAGGGCGGGCAGATCCGTCTGTTCCTCCGGGGAGAGGTCGAGGAGGACCTGCAGTGCGTCGCCCTCCAGAGCGAGTGCCAGCCGCACTGCTGTCTCCTCCTGTCTCCAACCTCCGTGGCGAGCTGCGAAGTCTAGCTGGGCCAAGTACGGTTCAAGCAGGGTCAATCCCCCGTACTTGGGCAGCTTTGGTTCTGACCTCGGTGGCAAGGCGCAACTCACCCCCGGAGTTCGGTACTGCCCTGGCCGCAGACAAGTCCGACATGTGGCTGCTGGCTCTCTGTCGGGCTAGCCGTGGCACGCTCGTGCCGGCTGGGCGAATGCCGGTCCCTGGCTCCCACCGGAGCCCT